AACGCCACCGCCTATAAAAGAAGAATCGTCTTGTGTTTTGAATGAAGGCTCTTACCAATAACGGCTACACCACCACATTATGCTAAACATTCTTCAAAAACAATACCATCGCACACACGAACACATACACAAACACACACACACATATATATATATGTATGTATATATATATATATATAAAAATTGGACACTGAGGTCATCACATCGCGGCGACTGTCAGTTTCATTCTAGAATGCAATCTTCAGAACATGTGTGTTGTGTTTTGCCTTGGCTATTTATATATGCTTGGCCAGTGGTGCATTATGGGTAGGAAGGTCTAGTGTATTATCCTAACGGTTATTGAGTAGTCGGTAACGATTATGTTTCAAATTATTCTATAGGAATAACTGTGAAGCCGAATGCGTTTATTTGTATCTTATATTGTTGTTAACTTTTTAGTCGTTATTTATTATTGATTACTAATTATTTGTTATCGATTATTATTTCACTTACTTGTCTTCATGTGTGCATTCGTAGTTTGCTGATTTGTTTGTTATTTACTTAATTTGTTTATTTCAACAGATTTTATTGATTATTTATTTGAAGTGTTTAGTTTAAGGTATTAGCTTTGTCTAAAGTAGTTTTCATTATATAATGTATATATTTGCATTTATTACAGTGGTTTTACAAGTTATTCATTTTAGTTTTCGATTTTTAAGTAACGTAGTAAAATAAATAAAATAAACAAAAAATCTGAATAAATGAAAAATGTGAACAAAAAAATTATTTTATATTTATATACGATCTATCTCTGATATTGAGCACTTTTTACCCATATATAAATACACACACACACACATATATATATATATATATATATATATATATATATATATATATATATATATATATATATATATATATATATCAAAAAATAGTGAAAGCAGTAACACTGTAAAGCTGTTACACTCATTGCCAAACTTGACAGGAGCCAGTCACTAGATAATTGTTTTCAACTGTCATTGATGTTCATGGTCTTTGAATAAAGGGTATCAATTCCCAAACTAAAGCACTAATATTCAGCCACCAGAATTTTAATTTGTTGAGTGAATTTCATTGAATTATGTTTCAGCGATTTATTTTTATATATTCCTATGGATTCTTGGAAAAAGACGTCTGTATCGATTATAACGATGAACATCGATCACGGATTTCTATTTATTGTCTTTCTTGCCGATGTATTCGTGAAAATCAGTCGACGGCCTTGGGGGCTTCGTGTTGGGGTCACCATTTGTGAATCACAGACCATATAATTTGACATTCACACAATAAGCAGAGCTTCATTGAAAAGAGGATTTGAAAAGAAATGGATTTAGTAAAAAACGTTGGGAATCATTAAGACGCATCTATCTATCTATCTATCTATCTATCTATCTATCTATCTATCTATCTAAAGAAGAAATAAAAAAAGTTTATCAATCTAACATATTTCAGTTTTATTAAAGCTTCATCAGAGAATGAGATATATAGAATAAAGAAATTCTGCTATTATTTTTACGTTTTCCCTATCTAAATCTGTTCATCTTTACCTCTCTCTATATATAAATATATGTATCTATGCTTATTTCTTTCTTAAAATTGTCTATATTGCACCCCCTTTCTTTCTATTATATTTTCGTTTCCATCATCACTAAGGCTAAATTTACCGTTAACTCATCACATCACATCTTAAAAAAATTTTTTAAAAATAACTAATATGGAACCCGAATGACATTCACATCCGGGCTAACAAGAAAAAAACAAATAAACTAAGAATCCTCCATATTTAAGTCATGTACCACGAGCGACACTACATAAATATTGAATCTGATAATATAAAGATTGGTGGTAATAATTTCTTCGAGATCCTAGAATTTAAAGTGGACGATATTTACTCAATGCAAAGCAAAACCTAGTTGCACTTCTAATGTCAGATTTCAATTGCACTTTTAGTGTCAGAATAATGGGATGACAAATGATTTCTACGCTAATTATTAACATACACAACCCATTTTAAATGTCTTCTAATTATCCAGTGAAGAAAATGCATTTTAATTCCTCGTTAATGCAAGGTTGATCTCAGTCTTTTAATTGGACCTCATAAGGAATATGAAATCCCTGCTTAGATTTATTTTTAACGTGTTTGTACCATTCGTTTATTGTTGAACATAACGTGCATTTTGTTAAATCTTTGTTGATTTAACAAATGTCTACTTCAGTAGATATTTTCAAAATTTTATTATCCAAATTGGTTAGACTCCCAGAGAAAGTCTTAGCGGAAATCGCAACCATTTTTTTAAAGGCATTAATTTCTGTGCAGTCGACTGAAAAAAATGTGCTTTAGTAATTAAGGAAGATTAAAAATTAAAGGAAGATATTTTGACGAGAGCAAAATCTAATCATAAAATGCTTTCTTTCTTTTTGTCGTTGTTGTGTCGGAAACCTACCACCCCTCTTGAAGGTGAACTTGTCCGCGTCTGTGAACAAAGACTTTAAATAGTGGCATGTCAGTTGACATGGAAAAGACAGATAGACAGAGAGGGTAAGACCTCCGAGTCTAGCTGAGTCGTGATACAGTCTTTGACTGTAAGCGACGTCTGTCGAACTCTCTGCGTTAGCAGAGAGGAACCCGGACGAAGCTTTGCCGAAGGGCAAGGTTTCGTCCGAGGAGGTAGACAGGGCCTGAAACCATCTAGGCGGGTTCAAAGGCTATATTTTTGGCCGAGCCTACGGGCGCGGAGATACCCACATTAAACCGGCCTTGTGCCATATTCAATCCTCGTGGGTGGATCGATAAATACTAAGACAGATAGACAGAGAATTTCTTAGCTGAGCTAGTTATTGACTACTCAGGCGATTTCTGTACCTTTTTACCAACCTATTAAAACCCTTTTTATTGTTACGTGTTATTTGGCGTTTGTCTCTACTTAACCCCAAATCAACATCATAACAGTCGTAACGAAATTTCTAATAAAAAAAATCATGTCTCACTTTTATTTTTTTAACCATGTATAATTATTTTCTCTTATTGAAAGTACAAAACAGCTATTTTGGGGGGCTAATTGAAAAATTACCAGGGTCGCCTCAAAGTTTTGAAATTGCAGTGCACACACACACACACACACACACACACACACACACACACACACACACACATACATACATATATATATATATTTTAAAAATTGGGAGATGAGCCGATTGCGCTACCTTGAAACCAATGTAGTGGGATCGGGCTCGATCTCCTAATCTTTTTCAAATGTAAAAGCTCTGCATGCTAAATTATTATTTTTATTTTATTTTCTTTATGCATGTATTGACCATTTTTTAATACTACTGTTTTTTGGTCTAATTCAACTCTGACCAATAACATATATATATATATATATATATATATATATATATATATATATATATATAGTTGTATATTTAGGCAGCAATCCTTCCTTTATGCATGTTTCATTAAAAACGACAGACAAGGTACTACGGTTGAGCTTTTTATTTAATTTTTCTTGTGTTCTGACAAGAACTTTCTTTTCTGGACAAAGGGTGTGTAAGAACTGTCCGAATGTTTTATATTTCCGAGCGCTTTCGGCTATACATTTAGCCATTATCAAGGATGATTCGATTTTCAGCTTAGTTGAGTGTGTGCGTTCCGTGTATGTATCAGTGTGTGTCCTCGTTGAATACAGCAATAACACTTTCATTACATCATTATACAAAAAAAACCACAAGCAAAAACTCGTGCCACCTTAGTTTCAAAAGCGAATGTCCACTTAGGTACAAAATAGCTGTAATAAAAAACTTTCTAAATAGAGCACACCAGAACTCATCCTCTCGACTACTCTTCCTCAAAGAACTTAACAACGTTAAACAAACACTAATCAACAGCGGTTTCCCTAACTACCTTATAGACCAACAAATTAGACTATTCCTCCCCAAAGCAAGTAATAACGATAGCGAACACACAGCCAAAAATCACATACACATTTATTACAAAAACCAAATGCATATTAATTACAAACAAGACGAATCTTCTCTAAGGCATATTATAAAGAAATATACTGCTCCTATTGATCCGAATAAAAAAATCAAACTTATTATCTATTATAAAAAATTTAAGACAGCCAACCTAAAAAATAACAACACACCAGCTAAGTCAAAATTACAAAGAACGAACATTATCTATGAGTTCAAATGCCTCTTAAGGAACTGTGTTCCTGATCAAACCGGACTCATAAATAATTACATTGGTTACACAACCACATGCTTATCCAGACGTCTTACGTTACAGCTATCTGATCACAGCTCCATTAGAACCCATTTAAACACACACACAGATTTACCCGATTCCATTAGAAACATACTAGTAGAAAACACAAATATATTAACTGTATCCACCTGCAAAAAAAGACTAAAAATAATGGAAGCTTTAATAATAAAAAAGAAAAAGCCAACTATTAACAATATTAACTACGAACAAAGCCACAATGTGCTAACCGTATTCGGAAATTAAAAACATCCCTACCACACACTGATACATACATGTTTTAATGAAACATGCATATATATATATATATATATATATAGAGAGAGAGAGAGAGGAAAGAGAGAGTGTCTTCATGTGTGTGTCTTGGTGCGTGTGTGAGATATACACCAATTGAATATACACTTCCGTCGTGTTGTTGTGAATCTGCCCTTGTGCTCAGCTAGAATAAGTCTACACTTTCACTCTGCTGCTCTGGTTACGCACTTTGAAACTGCTGCACCAATTCTACATTAATCTCTTGCAGAATTATGCAGTCAATAGCTATGCCGGCCACGCATGATTATTTGGTCGATTGTTGTTTGTATATGAGGAAAGCTAATTGGCAACTGGCTGCGTTTCTTTCTCGGCTGGCAAAGATGGCTGAACGGATAATGATTTGGTAAGCGTAGCTTACATGTGGCACAACGCCGCAAGTATGGAGCACCCAGTGAGTATCGAACTCACTTCTCAGTCGTAATTGATCTAACGAAACAAGCGAAGAGACCGATAAAAAAAAAAACGTTATAAACACACTTGTATAAGCTAATAAATTGTGACGTAACTGTAAATAAAAATATATACTTTCCAATTCCCTACATGCATGGCAGACAGATTGACATTGATAAAATGTATTGACAGATAGAGAAGTAGGCTGCGTGAACAACAAACAAACATAACGAGACAAAGAGAGTATGAAAGAAATAGAGAGATGCCTTGATTTGCATTTATTCAACGAGCAAAAATGTATTTCGATATCAAGGGAGTGAAACAGATTAAGACGTACAACGATTCCTATATTTGAACAGATGGAGAATAGACGAAAAGAACACACAACGCTTATTGATCAGAAAGCAAATTCATTTTATGTTTTTTTTTGTTGTTTGATACGTGATCTCTATAAAGATAGACGCATCTTATATACATGTTTCCAAAACTCAGTTTAGTCTGGCATAAATTAGAAGACACCTAATAAGGAATGAACTCCTTACCAATAATCTGTAATAATAACTTGCTGACCATTCATTTCGGACAGGCAATGTTAATATATAAAAAAAAACGTCTACTATAGACTGTACCATTGTTTGTATACTAGAACATACCTATTTCTATTGCAAATAGACTCTCCCACATATAAAAAGTAGTAGTAGTAGCAGTCGCCAGGGGGCTCAGTGAGTTGGTGAGTCAGTCGATGTCGGATATTAAAGTATCAACCACCACAACTAGATTGTTGCGTCATTAACTATTATTTCAAGTTCCTAACGTTTTGTACGTCGAACCTTTTTTAGGACCGACTTAGTGAAATACAAGCCTCCACTGTGAAAACTAGTCTCCAACAGTTTACTACGAGGTCACATTATTGAAGTAGACATTAGGAAAGTAAGTAACTGGGAATCGAGAGTAAGATGGGTTTGTTAACCATCACGTCACTGCAGATAGCCAAATATGGGTATTTTCTAAACGTAGATTAGATGTGGCACAAGGCCGAAAGTATGGAGCACCTAGTGAGGATCGAACTCACTTTTCAGTCGTAACTGATCTAGCGAGGCAATCTTGCTAACAGTTACACTACGCGGAGGTTCCCCAGATAGCCAAATATGCATTCCATATATATATTCATATTTACTTCGATCAGATGATTAATCATTATCGAATAATTTAGAATTGTTTATTGATTTGCTTATAATTTGGGGTAACTTTTTGCAGCATCGCTGTTTTATGCTAAATTAGAATACATTTAGCAAGTTCATGACTTCATTTAAGTATATTTATCAAAATAACTCTGGAAACCATTTTCCAATATGTGTCGCTTCCAAATCGATGGATCAATTAATTGATTGGCAAAAGGAAATTTGATAGGTCAGTAGATAATAAGTATTTATTTACTTCGACGATTTCAACTAAAGAAGGGTTGAGTTTTTTTAATCATTTCACTCCAAGCAAGGCAATAAAACCACTAAGACGCAAGGGGTTAATGGGTGTACAGAATAAAAAAAAAACACTATTAAGGAGAGAGAACAATAAAAGAAGAAGACAGAAAGATAATGATTGACATTGCACTTAAACTATTAAAGGTCACGGTTGACTGGGAAGTAAGAAGCCGGAAAAGAGTTCCACTAGCGACAAATACCATAGAAGAAACTGTTAGTACAGAACTTCCGGTTACATCTAGCCATTTCGACTGTAAAATGATGAAATCTTGCCGCTGATCTCGCACTACGCTTAAATTCATAGAGTCTAGGAAACATAGAGAAAAGGTCATCAGAACAATTACCATGAAAGTATTTTATAGGAAAAAACACAGGGATCCTATGTGACGGCTGTGAAAAAGTGACTGAAGCTGAGATGCCAGGTTAGGACCAATAACATTGCAGATTCTTCTTTTTCGGGTTTTTGAAAACAAAATTAGAAAGCTGTCAATCCTTATCATCTCTCTCTCTCTTTCTCTCTCTCTCTCTCTCTCACACACACACACAGACACACACACACGTTCCATACATTCATAGAGACCACATTCACAAGGATACATGGCTGGCCGCTCGTATACGAGTATGTCTGTCTGTTAGCGCGGCTAGCTAATCCCTGTTGCATACGCCTACTCAGGTACATTTGTGTTTGTTCAATCACCTCATACACAACTTGTGGTTTATACTGCAACTATGTTGGGTGGACCTTAGTTAAAGTTCCTGGGCGAGATTGCATAATCTGGCGCTATTAATAGTTTGAACAAGGCCAGTGGGCTCAAACATTTGATGACTTCTTACCTTGTGCTAATATAAGATGTATACACATAGACACATGCACATATAAGTCTATGTAACATATTTGATGACATATAATACAAGTAACCAAACCTTGACTCAATACCCACAAGAATCTTTTTTATCAGTCAAGCTTATTTACCGATTATGAAACTCGACCCCATTGAATTAAAGCGTAAATATAATATCAAAATTATTAGCAAAATTATTTCAGACTTGAACTCCTAATTTTAATGTTAAATTTTAAAAAGTGTTGAGGGAAGGAATTATGCGCGGGCAGAAGAATTAAAGAGATTTCAGATCAGCAGGTGTTGCAGAGGAATGTTTATGTCTTTTATCAACCGTAAGTTCTATTCTGATAGTTTCTTTTCCCGCACTTATCACCTGTGGAACTCTCTTTAAGTTTCTTGCTTTCCTGCCAACAACAATGTTAAAATATTTAAATGTAAAGTCAATCGTAATTTTCCTGTTCTTTTCATTGTCCTTTTTACTCAGTAATGCTTTCTTAGTTCCCTTCACTTTCAGTAAACCCTTGTGTCTTAGTGGCTTTCTCACCTTGCTTGGAGTAAAAAGAAACAGTTGGAGTTTACCGTATTTTATACTGTGCAAGTTTTGCCAATCCTGATGTATAAGATCCTTTATTTATATTTAATATAACATAATTATGGAGTTAGGCTACGTGTAAGTAATGGTAGTCTAGGATGCCTGGGTAAACACTTGCTCATCAAACTCCTTAACTTCACATATAAGATTCAAGAGATATTTCTTAAATTATAAAGTTATATTTGTTAGAAAAAGGGTGTTATATATTCTCAAATATGGTATTTATTTTCATAAACATATAACATCTATCATTACACGAATACAGACAACGATTCCTATATTTGAACAGATGGAGAATAGACGAAAAGAACACACGACGCTTATTGATCAGAAAGCAAATTCATTTTATATGTTTTTTTTTTTGTTTGATACTTGATCTCTAATAATCCTAGAGACCTGCTTAGTGTTTGAGACACTTGCGTTTTTCTCACCAGTTCTAGTGGTTTGGGTTCGAGCTCAAGTGAAAGCTAGACTTTCGAATGGTGATTTTCGAGACAGGCAGGAACTTCCATTTTTTTTACACAAGTTTCACCCTGTACAAGGCACGGGGGGGGGCACTCGAGGTAGAGGATTTACGTTAAGAGGAAGTTTATACGGATATGAAAGAAAGATAACAGTTAACTCAGAATCTGTCTATATTTCTAAGATGAGGTAATATGTATACTATTTACATTGTTCGGACTATCGTCCTCATCTTTGTTGCCTATTTAAACACAACGTTTCGTCCGTTGTGCGCTCCGGCCTTCTTCAGGTGGTTGGAATATCGAACTGAACCCTTTATTTAGCTCGCTGGGGCAGACTGTTCTAGTTCCACGTGCCATGTCTAATGTATGTTCTCAAGGACACATGGCACAGTGGATAAAGGCGTTAGTTAGATCCAGTGACAGGACCCAAAGAGTGTGAGTTCAATACCCGGTTAAGGCAGTGGAAAACTTCGAGAGTGGAATTAACAGGAGATAACTGATAACTGGCATCCATTAGACATGGCACGTGGAACTAGAACAGTCTACCCCAGCGTGCGAAACAAAGGTTTCAGTTCGATATTCAAACCACCTGAAGAAGGCCGGAGTGTACAACGGCCGAAACGTTGGGATAAATATGGCAACAAAGATGAGAACGATATTCCGAACAATGTAAATAGTTAACTCAGACTTGAATAGGTTAAGATTGAAGTGATTGGTGAAACATGCTTTTGGAAGTCAGTTCCACAGAGCAGTGATTCGTGGGAAGAAGCTGTTTGAGTGGAACTTATTTCTCACTGATGGAATACGGATGGAATTTGGGTAGTTTTCTACAATTTATGTGGCATGGCGGGTTCTAGCCGTAAATGTTTGGCTCGGCAGAGCGAAACAATGTAGTTCGCCCGAGTACTTTCTATGGAAATAACGATAGAACAGTGAGTGGGTCGCCACATCCCACCAGTGAGAGAGAAGTTGGAGGGTGGAAAATAATTAGTCACTCACTAGGACTCGGAGACGCTTTTGAACTCGAGACTAGAAAGTGAGGATTGGGCAGCTCCCGTCCAAATATGACAAGAGTACTCTATTTTCGGTTTGATCTAGCAACTGTAAAGGTCAACGATAGCATGAGGAGTCAGGTACTTACTGGAACGGTACAGGGAGCCGATCATTTTACCTAGATCTTTAACGATGGATCGTATGTACGAGTTCCACTCGAGGTCAGGTGTGAGTTTGAGGCTCGATAGTTTTTTAAAGACACGGTGGCTCCTCAAAGGGACACCCGTTCATCGTGACTGGTGGTAGTTCGGGATCCGATCGGCGGTGATGGAATGTACCTTTTTTCGTTGGAATATTAAATCAGCAAAATTGTTTTTCCTTTTATTTGCTTCATTTGTATCATCATAAGTTTTTTTTAAGACGCCTGCCTGGTGGCCCAGACAGTTGCATATTCGCCACTCTGTTCAGCATCAGAGAAAGCGTAAATAGCTCGAATGTCGATTTTTAAGGCAGGCTTTTCCCACTTGGTAAACTTTTTTCGCCATTTCTTCAATTTAGACCCTTACCTATATTAAGCTTAGTAAATGAGAGTATGTAGAAACATATTGTGTGAGTGTGAAGCTGTGCGTATGCAGTCGTGAATGTGTGTGTGTGTGAGAGAATGCGTGTTTGTGTAAGTGTGTGAGAATTAGTGTGGATGTGTGTGCGTTTGTATGTGTGTGTTAATTGAAATGAGAGGCAAGCCAAATACAACACGTGATACTGACGGAGAGAAAAAATGGTCTCTTTTGTCAGATAAGTAATCGCTATTTGAATATCTACCAAATTCCTAAAACTAACAATCTGTAAACTGGTGGGGTGGGGTGAAGAAATGAAATAAATGTACTTATAATTATCCCTTCCCACACCAGGTATTATGCGGGTTCTTTCCCAATGATCCCTCTATTATAAAGCCAGTCTCTCTTATCTTTCTCCATGTCTCTTTTTCCTCATATTATCTTTCTCTTTTTTCTCTTGTTAACTACTTTCTCTTTCCCCTCATATAATGCCTATTCCTCTCCCTCTTTCACATCTAATCTCTCTCTTTTCATTAGGTATTAGAGATATCCATGAAAATTTCACGGTTTTCTTATTTTAATATTCTGATGAATCTTAATTCTTAAAATGATTGAGTAAGATCATAGCGAGTTCTACGACAATAAAATATCCGTAGAGATTCCCCCATCGCATTGTTAAATATTTGAGCTTAACAACTTTAATAACAATCATAAATATGAATGCTGGTCGTTATTTTAAAAAATAAGGGGATACAAATAAAAAGTATTGACAACATTTTCCATTTCGAGTCTGTCTATATTTCTGAGATGAGGTATTATGTACATTATTTACATTATTCGGACTATTGTCCTCATCTTTGTCGCCATATTTATTACAACGTTTCGGACGTTGTACGCTCTGGCCTTCTTCAGGTGGTTGAATGTCTACTGGGGTAGACTGTCCTAGTTCCACGTTTGATGGATGTCAGTTATCTCCCGTTAATTTCCCTCTGAAAGTTCTCCACTGCCTTAACCGGGTATTGAACTCACACTCTTTGGGTCCTGTCACTGGATCTAACCAACGCCTTTATCCACTGTGCCATGTGCACATCTGGGTATGAATTTCTGGGTATTATAAACTTAATGTCTTCAGCAACCATTTTTACCAGTGCTCATATTGCAATTTTCCATTTCACTGAAACAGACGTTAAACACATGAGAGTGTTATAATCTTCTATATATTTTATAGAGTCTTCTATATATTTTCCCTTCCTTCTTTCTTTTATTTTCACACTGAAACCAAATAGCGTTTCCGTCTTTCCACGCGATCAAAACGGAATAGTCAATTATTTATGTGGTATTGGCAGGGCGTAACAGTCGTGCTAACCAAGGAATTAAGGGTGGGGCAAGCAGAATCATAAGATTCTCGCTTTCCAGCTTTTTGTGCCTTAATTTCTCCTTTTTCACTTATTCTTTTTTATTTCTTTTTAGGAGAACGCAGATCAACAGATTATTCCGACAAGCCGTTTATAGCGAATTCAATTCTCCTTGTGCAACCTTGTACTAAGCTTGATTGAATTTTTAAAAAAATATCCACTATTCTCTTTTATTTAGTTATTTTGTATTTTTGCTGTTTTTTGTAACTTTTTCTTCTGAAGATTTCAAACCTTCCTCCATTCTTTTAACACTCTTCTCTGTTTACATTTTTCAAGCAAAGAATCGAATTATTTAAAAAAAGGTTGCAAAAATAACAGATTAAAAGCAAAAAAAGAAAACTGAATGACTGCTTGATTTATATAAGAATAAATAAATATTGTGAAAAATAAAATAGGTGATCTGGTGACAGAGGGAAGGAAAAGAAAAAAAGAGAACAAAGAAGAAAAAGCAAGACAAAAAAAAAAAAAAAGGAAAAACTTAAACAAAAGAAAGAAACGAAGAAATAAAGCAAAGAAAAGAAAACGAAAGTAAACATTCGAGTAAATAAAAATTGTAGGTAGGCCGGGTTAAAAGAACAATGTGAAGAGAAGATAGACGAACACTGGTGATGAAGAAATGTTGGCTCTTGTTGTACGTCCGCCATAATAACATCTCAAGTGACGGCCGTCATCTTTGTTGGTGACGTAAGTGTTGTCTTGGTGACCAGAATCAAGTCTCGCCAGGTACAGGTAAATGTGCCTTGGTGAGGCCATATATCTGAGAAAGGTTGACACTAAGGAGAAATAAAACTTGTAAAATAATTTCTCTCTCTCTCTCTCTCTTTCTCTCTCTCTCTCTCTCTCTTATAGATAGATAGATAGATAGATAGATAGAGAGAGAGAGAGAGAGAGACGAAATTGTGAAAGAAAAAGAGAGGGAAAGGGAGAGAAAAAGAGAGAAGATGCAGAATGACAAAGATCCGAAGGAGGAGGAGGTGGTGGAAGAGAAAAAGCAATGAAGAAAATGTATACGAAAAGAAGGAATAGAATGAGACGAAAAAGAGAAAACAAATCTAGAAAATAAAGAGAAAAAGGAAGAGAGCGATGAGATAAAAAAGAGGAAAAGAGAAAGGGAGCCGAGAAAAGAAAAGAAGAAAGAAAATATAGAGAATGAGAAGAAAGGGTATAGAAAAAAGAAGAAAAGGAAGAAGAAAAGAAAGAAAGGATGCGAAGATCAAAGAGAGGGAAAAAGCAAAGCAGTGAAGAAAAGAAAAAGAAAGAGGATGAGAAGAAAGAGGACAGGAAAAAGGATAATCACGAAAAAGAAGAAGAAGAGGAAAAGAAAGAAGAATATTAGGAGGAGGAATTAAAAGAAAAAAAGAAAAAGGCGATAAAAAGTAAAACCAGAAAGATAATGATAATCTAATAATTGTCTACAACATTCGTGTCTCAAATATTGAATTCGATCCCTGCAAGCAGATTAATTATTATAAGCTTGTGTTTAAAGCCAAAAAAGCAATAAACTGAGTGAGAGAGAGAGAGAGAGAGAGAGAGAGAGAGAGAGAGAGAGAGAGCTACTCGGTCACCGTTGTCATGAGTTCGGTCATTGGTGTATGCTTCCAAGAATTAAGTTCACCAAAGATCTACAAATTGTCTACTGTAAAGAATGGTTTAATCGTCACTCTGACCATGAATAGTCAATAGGATTCGAATAAGCACATTTTATAGCTCAATATCAGATAGCTCAAAAGATATTTGGGCAACCGTCGTTGAACGATGATTAATAAATTAGGTTTGTCGACACTTGTTAGTGGTTTAGATCCACATTGAGTGCACCATTAATGTGCTAATGCATCAGAGTAAATTAAACGATATCAAATATTTCCAAACCTTTTTTCCATTCAAAATCGTTGGTGGTGGGAAAAAAAAACTCGTCACTGAGCTATATTTGGATTTTTATTTTCTACACCGGAATGGCAGTAGGTTCAGTTTAACAACTGTACACCCATCATATTAAACACACGATTCAAGGTTACATTTTATTATCGGTCATTCAAAGATTGTTCTGTTAACTCGAGTTGGATGCCAGGTTACCTGTGAAACTGCTTAGAAGGTGTTACCTGCTGGTGGTGGTGAGTGATCTTCCCTCACTAGTTTTTATTTAACCTCCCTTTTTCCTTTATGTATCGTGTCCCTTCAGGACGTAGGTGATCATGACCCTCCACAACTTCCTGTCACTTGTAGCTTTTAATAAGCTTTGCATTTTTTGTTATTTCTCTCAAACTCTGTTCTACCACCTATTTACTCAAGCTGATCAAGTATGTTACGCGTTGCTTTCCCCTGTCCCTCTTTCCTTCAATCTGTCCCGTGAGTATCAGGTTTTCCAAGCCCTCCTTCTTCATTACGTGCCCTAGAAATTTCAACTGCCTCTTCCTGATGTCAAGTATGTTTCTTTTTTTATTTCCATGTTCCCACCCCGCCAAAAAAAAACCTCGTCTTTGTTCACATGTTCGATTTCTGGTATCGTCAGTATCGTTCTGTAAAGCCACTTTTCTGTTGCTTTAAGTGTCTACTTCATCTTTGAGGAGATTGTCCCGCATTCGCTGCCATACAGGAGGACAGATATTGCGTAGCTGTTCAATACTCTTTTCTTCGACAATGGTAAAATAACACTTGGTCAGTGTTTAGTGCTGTAGATTCTGTAGATTCATTCTATTCGGCAGAAGGATTCGTTTTATGATCTACCTATCTAATCTCATTGACCGGGGTCGCGATCATAGTATCATTGTGAACTCCGCCATCCTTTCGTTAACTCTATAGTATATACTTTGCTAGGTCTACATACGATTTCTCGTTCTGCTAGACTGACTGCCAATCAGAATTAGGGAGAATAGTCTGCCCTGCTATTTAACCCATAGCTGAAGGCAAAAGGGATGAATTCATACTTTTCCGAATTGTTTTTGCGTTAAAGTCAATACAACAAGCTCGACTGGCATTCGAAATTCGAACCTAGCTGCTAACCATTACATTACGTCTATCCCGAAAAAATCAATTTGGTAGCCTCAAACGTCAGTGAACTTTACCCTTAGTTCTGTGTTATTGCCTGGAGGAGGGATTCCCACTCAACTTGCCCGAAGACTTCATTCGAATGTGGCAAACCACTGAGACAGTTATGTCTCTTTTGTGTAGTTTTGTTAACCTTTGCAATAATGATCTTACTGCACAGTGATTGGCATTTAATTTTGACAATCTCCCAATCTATTGATAGTGGGTTCAACTACCGGAAGATTAAACAGTAAATAAAAATTAAAACGGGTTTACAGTGACAATGAGAAAAAGAAAATAGAAATATACGGAAAGAAAGGAAAGACAACAACTTGGAATTAATCAAAGGAAGGAAATTATTCTTGGGAACGAATAAAGGAAAAAGAGACAAATATGAAAAAGAAAAGAAAAAAAGTAATGAGAAAGAATAAAAAAGAATAAAAAGGATAAAAAAGAATAAAAAAGAATAAAAAGAGAGAAAGCTTAGAAGAAATAAAAGAAAACAAGGAAGAAGGTACAAAAACAAAGATGGAGTGGAAGGAAAGACTATAATGAAAGAAAATATGGGAAGAAAGAGAAAGAAAGGCGAAGAAAAAAGAAAGCCTCTAAGAAAGAAGAAATTAAATGAAAGAAGAAAGAAAACAAAGAGAAAGACGTGAAAGGAAAAAAGGAAAAGAGAAAGGACATGAAAAAGAGAAAGAAGGCATAGAAATAAGGAAGAAGAAAAAGTAATAATTAAATAAAGTAAACGAATGTAGATGGAAATAAAGGGAGAAAAATAAGTGGAAACAATTGTGTGAAAAGGGACAAAAATTTGAGAGAAAAGGAGGAAGTAAAAGAGAGAAATAGAAATGAAGCTGAGAGAGAGAGAGAGCGCGAGAGTGAGAGAGAAATACAAATGATGAGGAGAGAGAGAGAGAGAGAGAGAGTACAGACGATAAACAATAAAGGAAATAAAAACAAAATTAAAAAATGGATTAGAAAAATCCAGAGAGAATAAATAAAGAAAAAGATTTTAACATTGAAATCTCCATCTTTTTTCACGCTTAAATGTCGCCATAAAATTAAAGAAAAAATTAAACCACGTTTGTGAATTTCCGCCAAAATTAAGTAGAAAAAAATCAAACCTTATATTTGATAGCAACGGAAACACAAATAGTAACAGATCAAGTATTGATTATAAACAAAAGATACACTATAAAACAAAAGAAACACTACATAAACCACAAGATAAAAAAACTAGAAAATTAACTTAATTAAAAGTGCTTAATTCATTAACACGACAATTTAATCTCAAATGATCACAGTAATCGATTCCTTATTCATCAAATGAAAACAAAAGAGGAAAGTAATTCCGAAAAACATACTTGTAGGTGATAGCTATTTGTTTAACGAATGAAATATTGTGATTGATTTTGCCATTATCTCATTATTATGTTCTGAGGGTGATGATACGAAAGACCAAAATATTAAAAACAACTATACTTTATACATTTTTCATAAACTAACAATAATATGCGATTTAAGAAAAAAAAATCTCTAAACAAAATTTTCAACAAACAGACTATTCTTGTGACAACCAGTCTTTAACCACCTTTATTGTTATAACCACAGAGAAATGTAAAATTTAAAGTAAACAGAAGAATATCAAGAAAAAGAAAAATCTTAAGCCGAATTGTTCATAATTATTAATGTTTTTACTACCGTTGAATATATACAAATTATTCCCAAAAGTATAGGGTGTTCCAATAACTTGGACAGATTTAAAATTATCGAAGCCTATTACAAAAATGGATGTTCAAACAGAGATGCATTTCGCGATTTTTTTGGTCAACATAATCGACCAACCGAGAATGTACTTGGAAAAATTGTTTGTAAATTCAATCAAAATGTGTCGGTGGCAGATGTGAAAGCACCACTGCGTGCTCGTTTACGTCGTTCAGCTGAAAACATTGCTGCAGTGCACGAGAATGTGACTGAAAATCCAGACACCTCTATTCGTCATCGCGCGCATGAATTGAAAATCTCCACAACAACGTTACATCGAATTTTAACAAAAGATTTGTCTCTACACGCTTACAAAATTCAATTGACACAGGAACTGAAACCTGCTGACCATATGGAACGCCGTATATTCGTCAATTTTTTGCAAAAAATCCTCTTTAGTGATGAAGCACATTTTCATCTTGGTGGATTCGTTAATAAGCAGAATTGTTGCATCTGAGCTGATGTAAATCCAAGAAAGATTGTTGAAAAGCCAATGCATCCACAAAAGGTGTGCATTTTTTTGCTAGCGGAATCATTGGGTCGTATATTTATAACTTTGAACGTCCATTTTCGTAATAGGCTTCGATACCTTTACCACGTTGTTTGATTGTTAATCTTTTTATGGTTGAAATTGCCAAAGACTTAAGTTGTTAAATCTGAAAGAAAAAGAAAAAATCATTAGATGCTTAAACTTAAATCACATTTAAAATTGGTCCAAGTTATTGGAACACCCTATACATACAAACTAACAAACCATCTACACAAGAACCATGTTTTATGAATGTCTATCAATAAGTTAACTGATCAATAACAATTAAAAAAAACAATAAAGTTAACTGATTGGAAAAAAAACGAATGTAACAAGCTTAGATTTAGACGACGATGTGTTGCAATCGAGGGAAGGTTACTGAATAGAATAATCACACGAAGGTTGGTAATGAACGATAATATTTAGGATATAAGATTCGCCAGCGGCGTGTAGAAGAAGTAGTCAACTGCTAGAAGTGAGTCAAGTGAATTCCACAATGAATCTCCACATGCAGGATATCTACCAACCGCCCCACGCGGTCAGATGTGGCACAAGTCTGAATTTAATGTGGGGTATCCGAGCCCGTAGGGTCAGCCAAAATTTCCCGTAGACCCCGTATAAAACGGTGTTGGGTAACTGTTTCCCGAGATGAGACTCTACCCTTCATCTGGGGATCCTATCTGCCCTGAGGCAGAGAGTTTGACCAGCACAGCTGGAGATGAATCTCCAACTGCAGTCTAGCATACAGTATTTACTACTGTATTTATGTGAATGTGGACATACCCATTATTGTCGATAGGTATGCGACAACACTATGAGAAGGCATTTGGCTCGACAGAACATGCAGCGGTCTTTAACTTGATACAAGAACAGCGTATTAGCATAAAACTCTCTAAAAATTATTGAGCGTATGTAAAAAGTAACAGCAACAATTATTCGACTAAGCAAAACCATAGATAAAATAAAAACTGGAAAAGGATTGAAGTAACTGGGACAGGAGTTCATTTAAACTACAGTGTAACCCGGATATACGAGAGTTGTCGGGACCGGAGAAGAAGTCTCTTATATCCGGGTTTCTCTTATATCCGGGTTTCTCTTATATCCGGGTCTCTTATATCCGGGTTACACTGTAGATTATTTCATTATAAATAAATTCAATTAATTTATAGATGTGTAATTAAATTCTAATATTCTAATCTTATAATACCATATATAGTTTATTAGTAAATAAAATATAGTATTTTAGATTTATTATAAATAATATGACTTAATCATATTTGAATACCCCTTTATGTAAATCTCAATGTAGTTTTAGAATACAAGAAAATTAATGAAAAATAAATATAAATGCCAAATATATTGTATTGTAACCCTAAATAAAATAAAAAACGGGACATTGATGACACGTCCGCATGAAAGGAAGTCAGTATCAACAGACAGAAATCTCTAACCCCCACCTAACCTTAAACGACTTTCAATTTGCCACATAAAAATTATACTTGTATCTTCATTCGTCAAAAAAGACAACACCCACTTAATAAAAAATTCTGAATTCTCATTACCCCACCAACTTAAAATATATAATGGTATTTGGCTTATAAAGTAAATCAGTTTTTTTTCGAAGTTTATTCTCAGTATCGCTTGAAAATGGAACTGAACGTCAAATTTTAAGTTTAATTTGAGATTTTGGTTTTGAAAATATAGTAATTTCTCTGTCGCGAAAAAAATAATTATAATATATATATATATATATATATATATATATATATATATATATATATATATATATATATATATATATATATATATATATGGGCAGGTGGCCGAGTGGTTAGAACGTTCCCATTCTGACCATCAATCTCACCAATGTTCGATTTGTCAGGAAGGAGACTTCTTGATGTTATCAGACTGGAGGGGTAGATCCCAGCCTTGTGAGTGAAATTGGGTAGACGGAAGCCTTGGGTGCCGTCAATGACTGTGCTAGAACGAAGTCCCAAGTCATCGTGGCCGAGGGCTTGAGCGTGCTGGCCTTGTTCAAATTGTTGATCACGATAGATAACATATATATATGTATTAGGATAGGATATAGCATTAAAAAACGAACATGAAAAAGTTATATATAACAATAGGATGGAAAGCATTAAACAAAGATATCTATTTAATGAAACGCATCTTGCCAATATGCTTAAAGCATAAAGTCAACGAATGGATAGTACTAGTTATAAAATACAGGCGCAAGACATGGAAATTAACAAAGAATCTAGAAAAACTGATGCAGAAATCAATGGAAACAGTAATAATAGTGATAACAGATCGAAGTCAATATGGACTACAGAACAGATCCTGATAAATGATAGAAGTGCCAACATTGGAGGTGAACAGGACATATAACAAGAGTAAAAAAATAGCAGATGGAGTAAAAGGTTGCTTGAATAGTGTCCAAATGATAAAAACACGATATAAAAAGAGCAGATAGAAGCAGGAAAAGTTAAATTAAAGCAGAGCCCTTAGAAATCCTTTGGTAATAATTTATTTCACAGGATCAAACGCCTATCACGTCAGACCAAATATTTTACAACATTAATGGATTTAAATTTATCCAGACACAAGCAAAAAGAAAAAGAAAAAGTAAACAGAAAAAAGAAGAAAAAAAGAAAAAGGAAAGAAAAAGAAAAATGGAAAAGAACAAGACAAAGGGGTAGAAGACAGAGAAATAAAAGGGAGTTTAAAAAATATGAGGGCAAGATAGAGATTTTCTTAAGGGAGAAGAGAGAAACATATATAGAGAGACACAGGGGGAAGAGAAAGAGAGAGTATAAGAGGGAAAGAAAGGGGGAAGGAAGATAATATATATATATATATATATATATATATATATATATATATATATATATATATATATATATATATATATATATATATATATATATATATATAAACTGTTACATTGGAACATGCAAGTTACCACGGCAAAATTCATATTTGTTTCGACCTCTAAAGACATGAGATGTTTTTAGACGTCGAAACAAATGTACATTTTTGTCGTGGTATCTTGCATGTTCCAATGTAACAGTTTATAATGTCTATTGCTCTACTCTTGTATTGATCCCTTTTTTACATTAGTGTTATGAACTTTTGAATTTATATATATATATATATATATATATATATATATATATATATATATATATATACCATCGGGTGGTTCAATAATATGAGGTGGGAGAAGAAAGCTTCGTTTATTAAATTCGATATCATCGACTTTTACTCGTCTATTTCTAGCGACCTTTTGAATGATTGCATCGAATTTGCTAAGAACTATATGGTGATATCTGATGAATATATCAATATCATATTTGCTGCCAAGAAGTCAATTCTATCACATAATGACTCCACCTGGATTAAATGTGGGAGTAACGACTTTGACGTTCCGATGGAGGCATATGATTTGGCACAAGTAGCTGATATTGTCTGTATTTACATCTTGGAGATTTATTGAACCGAAAGTATTCGGTCTATATAGAGACGACGGACTCATTTATGTCCCCAATAGTAATGGTCCTCTTACTGTTAAATTACAGGGAAAAAAAAGCATTAAGACTTTTAGGTCCTGGGATTCAAGATAGAGATCACTTCCAATATAAAAATAGTTGATTACCTTGACATCACACTCAACTTGAATAATAATACATTTAAACCTTACCACAAGGAACACGAAACTCCTAATTATATTAACATTAACTTGAATCACTCCCATACCATCTTGAAGCAGATACCAATTATTGTTGGTTCTAGAATCAATAAACTGTCATCTAATAAGAATATGTTTGATAAGAATAAAGCATTGTACGAAAATGCCCCCCGCCCCGAAAAGTGATTTTGCACATAAACTATCTTACTTAAACTCCACAAATAACCATAGTGAAGTTAAGAGTAGTAATCCACACAAAAATAGAAAAAGAAATATTATTTGGTTACCCCCAATTCTGTAGATTATCTCGAATTAATATTGGACAGATTTTCCTGAAACTTCTTTAAATTTTCAGAATAACAACCCTCCAGGTAAGATTTTTAATACAAAAACTATTAAAATAAGTTATTCATGTACTAACAACATGTTTAGAGTAATTGATTCCTACAACTAATATATCCTCAACAGATTCATTGGTGTCAACAAGAATTCTAATACCCACCCCCTTTGTAATTGTAGAAATAGCAACCTTTGCCCAGTCGAAGACAAATGTAGAGCATCTAATGTTATTTATCAAGCCACCATTTACCCTATAGAAAATAAATCAAACCACAAAGTTTATATTTCGATTTTTGCGGGGGAATGGAAAAAAAAAGACCACAGACACTCTTTTTCCAACCCGAAACTAAAACACCAAACTACTCTCTCCCCAAAATTTTGGGAATTGAGGGAGAAAGACCTGAACCCTCAAAATGACTGAGAATTTATAGGTTTTGCTCAGGCTTCAAATAGCGTTAAGGGTAGATGTAATCTATGTTTGAAGGAGAAAATTAAAATCATTAAATTTAAGAATCAAGATATTCTACTAAATAAAAAGAATGTATTGGTATCCAAGTGCCGTCATAGGAAAAAAAAATTCCTTCTGACATAATATTATTTCAATCCCACACTTCAAGTGTCACCACAGGAACAAATTTCAACTAACATAGTACCAGCTGAACCTCGCACCCTTCTCTTTCATTTATATTTTTATATGTGAATTTTTTCTATGATGACATCGTATGTAAATTTTTTTCTATATGTTAAATTGTTTTGGAGATGTGGAATTTTCTTCTATATTTAAATATTTCTCTCCGTGTTAAACGTTTTCGATATGTGGAATTTTCTTCTATATTTAAATATTTCTCTTCCTGTTAAACGTTTTCTATATGTGGAATTTCCTTCTATATTTAAATATTTCTCTCCGTGTTAAACGTTTTCTATATGTGGAATTTCCTTCTATATTTAAATATTTCTCTCCGTGTTAAACGTTTTCTATATGTGGAATTTCCTTCTATATTTAAATATTTCTCTCCGTGTTAAACGTTTTCTATATGTGGAATTTCCTTCTATATTTAAATATTTCTCTCCGTGTTAAACGTTTTCTATATGTGGAATTTCCTTCTATATTTAAATATTTCTCTCCGTGTTAAACGTTTTCTATATGTGGAATTTCCTTCTATATTTAAATATTTCTCTCCGTGTTAAACGTTTTCGATGTGTGGAATTTTCTTCTATATTTAAATATTTCTCTTCCTGTTAAACGTTTTCTATATGTGGAATTTCCTTCTATATTTAATTGTTTTTCCCCCATTAACTCTACTCTTTCTAACATTCATTACTAGGCCTATGAGATTTTTAATTCCTTTATATTCCTCTATCTTCCCTACGGTTTCTTGTTTACCACATTATTATAATATTAATTTTTTTTAAGATATTGAATTTAAATTTAATCCATTACAGAATTTTTAAATAATCAATATTACTTTTGATATAATTTAAATTACAAATTTAATATTCGAAATATTATTAATATTACATTGATATAATGAGATTGGTTATATTTAAATGAAATTAATATATTTAAATGAAATTAATATATTAATAATTTACTTAATTCTTTTACTGTATCTTTTACTATATAGTTAAATGAATGGATTAATATTAACATCTTTTTTTAAAAGTATTAATTTTAAATTCTTACTGCTATTCTATAATCCTTGAAACTCCGTTTCTGGAATTTTTATACCCATTTTTTGTTCATTCTTCCTCCTTGCACAGATGTTAATAGGTTACATTTAGGTCAGCGTCCATTTTCAACTGTAGCGTTTAT